ATGTGCTGGGCCCCTTCTGCACATGGCCAATTCCCTTTCCACTTCTCTGCCCTGTTAGGATACAGCCAGGGTAGGAGAGACCTTGCTGAGATGCCCACACCATGCTCTTTGACTCCCAGAACTGAGGGCTAAATAAGCCTCTTTTTTTATATCATGCCTAGCCTTAAGTATTTTGTTATACTGACACAAATACTACCTTCTGTCAAGTATACTGTTTATTTAAGTATTTGTTTTTAAAGTCTTTCACTGTGTCTTTTTGTTTTATCAATTTTAGTTTTTAGATATTTAGGAAGGTGTTTTAGGATTGCCTTTGACAATTTTATTTTTATATAATATACTTAGCTCCCTCTTTCTTTAAATACTTCTATTAATTTCTACTGCAAGAAATCCTAAAACTAGCTTGTGTCTTCTCCCTTCCTCTTTACTTTATGTTTTTAAATTTTTAGTGCATACCCTTGTAATTTTAGTATGTTCTAAACACAAGTACTTAATTTATCAGTTTTAAGGGATATATTTGTTCTTGTAGATATTAAAGCCAAGGTCATCAGCAAACTTAGTCTGTATCCTTATTCATTTCAACACTTATTCCATAATTACTGAAAAGTGTGTTTTTATTAACAATTTCTTCTTATAATTGTGCTATTTTTCTTACACATTTTGGCTTTGTTGCTAGAGGCAGACTGATTTGGTTTTAGTGTAATATTCTGTTGACTTTTTTGTTATCATTATGTAAAGAACATCTTTGTCTCTACTAATGTTTTTGGTCTTAGGCTATATTTAGATATTTCTATTACTACATAAGCTATCTTCTATTACTCTTTGCTTTGTGTATTTTATATCATGTTATATTTTAACCTCCTCATGTCTTTAGGTTTTCTTTGTGACTCCTGTAAAAAGGCATAGAACTGGATTTTGTGATATTAATCTAGTCTGTGAACTTCTTTCAACTGCCAGATTTAAACTATTTACATTAATTGTGATTACTGAGCTATCTAAATTTGTTTCTATTATCATGTATTATGCCTTCTATTTATTATGCTCTTACTTGACTTTTTTTCTCCTTTCATCACTTATATTGAAATGATTCAATGTTTAAAGTATTCTTTAATGACCCCTCTCTAATGGTTTAGAAGTTTTAAATTCCAAAACTTACCCCATTTTTAATATGACTACATAACTTGGCAACATGTGAAGTTAATATCTCAGCCCTCCTTCCAAACCAGACAAAAGCTTTTTACTTTATCTCCCTCATTATCTTGCTATTTGTAATTGCTCCATCTTGTTTTTATTTTTTTTTATTGTTGTGCTGAGCAGGGGTACATTGTGGCATTTACAAAAGTTCTTACAGTATATCATACTTGAATTTTTATTTTTAAATGTAATCATGCTGTAAGTGATTTTATAGCTACAGTCATATTTCACTCTTCATTGTGATTTAGCAATATTTTTAAATAAGTTCGTTGCTGTTTTATGTGTGCAGGTTTGTGTGTGTACAGCTAGTTTTTCCTTCTGGGTTCACTATGTTTGTTGCTTAATTGATAACAAAAGAAAAAGCAAATGGGCAGGCACTCTGTACTGAGCAGCCCTGGCAGATATGCCTCAAATTACGAAGTACAAATGGCCAATAATATGTGAAAATGTGTAATATCTTTAGTCATCAGGGAAATGTAAATCAAAACTACATTGAGATTTTATCTTATCCCAGTAGAATGGCTGTCATCAAGAAAAACAAAATAACAGGACTGGGGGCATAGCTCAAGTGGTAGCATACGTGCCTAGCAATAGGGGAAAAAATGCTGTTAAGAATGCAGGAAAAAAAAGAACCCTTATACACTGTTGGTAGAAATATAAATTAGTGCAGTCACTATGGAGATCAATATGGAAGTTCCTCAAAAAAAAAAAACAAACTACTCCTGGGAATATACCCAAAGGAATCTAAGTTAGCATCCAATAGAGATACCTGCACACCCATGTTTATTGAGGCACAACTCATAAGTTACAGAACCAACTTAGGTGCCCATCAACAGATGAATGGCTAAAAGAAATGTGATATATAAAAAACAGAGTTTTATTCAATCATAAAGAATTAAATTATGAGCTAGGTACTGTACTTCATGCCTGTAATCTTAGCTACTTGGGAGGCTGAGATTGGGAAGATAAATATTCAACGCCAGTCCAGACAATTAGCTCTATAGACCCCCATCTCCAAAATAACCAGAGCAAAACAGACTGGAGATATGGCTCAAGTGGTAGAGCACCTGCTTTGCAAGCCTGAAGCCCTGAGTTCAAACCCCATCCCACCAAAAAAAAAAGAAAGAGAGAAAGAGAAGGAAGAATAAAGAAAGAAAGAAATATTTAAATTATCAAACTGGATATAATCGTGTTAAATGAAATAAGCCACGTTTGTAGACAAATACCACATGTTTTCTCTCATATATAGAATTAGGGGAGGGGGAATGAAAGCAAAAACAAAAAGGACATAAAAGTAAAAGGGAGACTACTCGGGATGTGGAAGGGGAAAGGGAGGAGGTGGTAACAGAGGGCATGAATATAAGTAAGTATGTTATACACATGTATCAAATGTCATAATGAAACTCTATTTTGCACAATTTTTTTAAAAGAAGAATAAGCCTGGCTGGATAGGAGACACTGAAGGTGAGTAACAAGAAGGGGAAATTATTGGGCTAGGAAATCATATGGTGATAGAAGCAGGAGGAATGAATAAAGAGAACGCTGAAAGGGAGGGGCAGGGAAGGGGGGGAGAAATGACCCAAACATTGTGTGTACATATGAATAAAAGAAACAAAAATTTTAAAAAGAGAGAGAATGCTGAGCAAACCAGAATCACTAACATCTGTGCTCATAAAACAGACCACACTCTTAGGGATTCACCTCTATGTTTCTGTGTCCCTGGAATGAAGCTTACCTGGGAGTTTTCCCAGAGATAAGAAATTTGAAGGACATCTGAAGATCGCTAAGTCTACTGACTGCATCTTCCTGTACAGCCTGCTAGGACACTAAAGCTCTATCACTCATTAGCTGGGTGACTGCAGGCCAGTTTCTCTATCTGTAAAGTAAGAATTGACTGCTACATTATTCTTAAGACACTTTCCAGGTTTAAAGAATTATCATGGATGGTTGTAATTGTGCTGAGGATATCAAAGACTTTTCACAAAGCATTGCCTTCCATGAGGGCTAACAACTTCCACAAAGTTGAAAAATGCAAGAATTATTTTTCCCATTTTATAATAAAGACATTTTGTGGGGAGGAGAAGGAATCAGGCCAGCATTCTTCCTTCAAATGTTTATTTCACTTTCGGTGAAATGTGGGAGGTGAGTGGATGTTGGAGCTGCAGGACAGCAGCAGGATGAGGCAAAGGCTGATCTGCTCCATTCTCACTCCACCTCCTCCCAACAGCCTCCAGGCAGAAGAAATTCCAAAACAGCAATTCTGGCAAGTTCACTGCTAGCACTGGCAAGTACCAGCTGCTTCCAGGAATGTGAAACTTTCTGTTTCCTACAATGGGAGTCTTAAAGTTAAGTACCTCCCAGCAACCAGTGGTCTGTGAAAGGTTGAATTCCCAGTGGTTGGTATGGGTAGGGAGGATTGAGATTTATTCATTTATCCAAAGGACTTGTTATTTATTATCTGTGAATCGTGCCCTGTGCCAGGGAGGAGATTCAAAGTTTAATAAGAAATATGGCCTTTCCTCTAGGAGTTCCTGCCCTAGAAAAGGACAAAGATGCAGTTGGGAGAATTTAATCAGAGCTGTAAAAGACATAAGCCTCAGAAGACAGAAGCACTTGGAAAGGAGACTTTCTCCAGACAAAGGAAATGAGGAAGCCCTATACCTAAGTTAAGTCTTAAAGAACTTGGAAACCAAGGGAGGGTGGTTCATAGAAGGGGCAAGAAATTGTATTCTGTGGAGGATTTGGGAAGAAGAGGGTGAAGAAACAAGAAGCACTGTGCAGTAGTGGCATCGTCCCACGTGCCTTGCAGAAAGAAAAATGACTTTGTGAACACAATTGGGAAAGGACAGCCGATACTAGAGAAACCTCTCTGGCAATGGGATGATGTAAGACTAAGAATGAAGGCCATCACAGCAGGAGTGGAGAAAAGGCAACGGACTGAGAGCTATTGGGAGCCAGAAGCAACCTAGCTTTACTTTATCTGACTGTAGGTTGGAGACCATGGACACAAGATCAAAGGAAATGTATTCAGTGTAGACTCTAGGGTCGGGCATGGATTCAACTCTACCACTGTGAAACCTGAGGAGTCATTTAATCTCTTTGAGCTTCAGTTTTCTCATCTGTAACACGGAAATAATAACCAGCTTCATAGAGTTGGGAATAAGGATTAAAGATGATAATACACAAAAATCACTTAGCATAGCTCCTACTAAAACTCTATAGAGGTTAGTTATTATCAATGCTATTATTACAAACTGTTAAATAGGGAGCTGTGTTGTAACCAGTCATACTCTAGCTTCCCCAAAATACCAGACATGGGTGGGAACAGGGAAAAATACAAAAAGGCAGCCTCATGAATATTTACATCATATTGGTTAATATGCATCTCAAAGAACAGATACATAGATGAGAGTATAGCAAGCAAAATAGTAACCATGGGGCAGAGTGGCTCGAGTGGTACAGTGCCTGCCTAGCAAATGTGAGGCCCTGAATTCAAACCCCAGTACTGCAACAAAAACAGAAAGAAACAAAAAATTAACCATGTTTATGTCTAGGAAATAAAATAAAGTATATTTTACTTTTTTCTTTGTACTTTTCTTCACTATACTTTCTAAGTTTTCTTTATGAAGGTGCACTTATCTGCCTAAATATAATTTTTTAAAAAATTTTTAAATAAGTTTATTGTGCTATAATACATTATTCAGCATCAGGCAAAGCTCAGTGCAGCAAGGAAATGTTTTCAGACACACCCAGCACACCCCACCCCCATGGCCATCCCCACACTTCCACCCACCCAACCCAACCCAACCCAGCAGAAGCACACACACGCCAGATGTCCATCATGCCTCCAGCTCCAGGAGCAACTACCCAGGAGCACAACCCAGGAATATTCAGAGGCGTTACTCTAGGTCTGGGTCTGGGTCCAAGTGATGGTTCTGAGACTGTTAATGTATCTGGAGGTCACAGTCCTCCAGTTACTGCTGTACCAAGTGGAAGTAGAAGTCCTGGTCCTCCCTGAGCTGGGTGGGATTGAGCAGCTGCCCCTGCTTGAGCACCAGTATCTGGTCAGCACTCCAAACCGTGTGCAGCCTATGTGCAATCACCAGCACTGTTCGGTCCCCGTTGGATCTCCAAGCCTGTAACTGAAAGGGCAAGATCACAGTGCCTCAGAAGATAATAATGAAATGGACAGCACAACCCAGCTGGGTACAACCTCCTATGACTCAGGGTAAAGAAGGCATGAAACATGAAGATTGCAAAGGGTGGTAGGTTAGGGTCTTTCCTGCCCTTCTCTCTCGACTGTAGTGAAGGATGCAAAAGGCAGCTGTGGAGGAATCTAACCCTACAAAGGCACAGACACTTTCTCTACCACTTAGGCCATTCATCCTCCTCTACTCAATTCCACACAGGCTGATCCTTCAAAAGTGACCACTTAGGTGCCAAAGACCCTCCCTTCCCACTCTGGTACTCACAGCCTGCTCACACTGGACATCCAGCGCACTGGTGGCCTCATCCAGAATGAGAACTCGTGGGTCCCTCACAAGGGCCCGGGCAATGGCCAGACGTTGTTTCTGTCCCACAGCCATCTGGCTGCCCTTCTCCCCTACATCTGAGAAAATCAGAGAAATTCCCCTCGCAGATGCAAGTGATCAGGGCAACACTCCTCCCCATGGGGAAGGACAAGTGTGCCACATCTATTTCCCCTAGGACCAGTTAGGAGGTACCAGGGTCATGGTAGGGTGGGGACCCTGGGACTGCCCCTGTGAAGTGAGCACTGCTTCTGCATTGCTCTCTGGGAATAAAGGTCCTTCCCTGCCCCCAAGCAGGACAGAGAAGCTGAAGAATGCATGATGTGAAGGAAGAATGGTAAGTGGAAACAGAGGAAGGGGCAGGGAAGAAGCAAATTTTCCATTTTCTTTTCTAACTAAAAGGGTGGTTCACAATCCGCAGAAGATACCTGTATATATTCCGTGCTTCATCTCCCTTATGAAGTCATCTGCATGGGCCGCCTGGATGGCAGCCATCACGTGATCATCCTCACAGTTCTTCAGCCCATAAGCAATGTTGTCCCTCACAGAACCAGAAAACAGCACAGGTTCCTGCCCAACTGAAACAACCTGTGTGGAGGAGATGGGTGCAGAGGACATGTGAAACCCCAACCATAGGCACCTTGCATTCCTCTCACCCTCCTACCTCAGAATGGACCCTCAGCTTTTCTTCCCGTGGATTCTCCCATGCTCTCTCCATGCATACTCCTTCTCCCCTGTCCACCTCGTTCTCGTGCTCCACCTACCTGTCTGTGCAGGTAGCAGTGTTCATATTCTGAAATGGGCTTCCCATCCAGCAGCAGCTGGCCTCCGGTGGGCTGGTACAGGTTCTGCAGCAGGGCAGCCACAGTGCTCTTCCCAGACCCATTGGGTCCCACCAGCGCTGTCACCTCTCCAGGACGTAGAGTGAAAGTCAGCTCCTGGAAAACCAGGAAAGAGTTAGGGCCTGCCACTCCTCCCTCAGGATTCCTCTCCTCTTCCTAACAGAGGTAAGAACAGCTTCTCAGAAGCAAATCATATGCAGGAGGTGGTTTCTGACCACCTATAAGCAGCAGAGAGCAAGAGGTCCAGGTTCCCTCCTTGTGGCCTCTTTTGTGTACCTTGAGCACAGGCTGGTCAGAGTTATTGGGATATGCAAAGGAGACATCTCGGAATTCCACAAGACCCTGAAGTGTAGGAGGGGCCAGTGTTCCAGGCTGGGGCATATTTGGCTTTCTATCCAGGTATCGAAAAACTTTCTCAGCAGCTCCAACATTGCTCAGCATATCCCCACACATGTGCACCAGCATCTGGAAAAGTGGAATGGACTGGTCAGCTAATCAAACACCTTCACCAGAAACCAACTCCCCAGTTCCTCAAACACTCTCCTGCCACACTCCACCCACAGCCACACTTCTCCTCCTCACCTGAACAAAACTCTATCTTTCAATGTACAATTTGGGTGGAATTTTTGAGACAGGGTCCTGCTATGTAACCCAGTCTAGCCTTGAACTCACCCTCATCCTGCTTCAGCCTTCAGAGTGATGGGATTACAGATGTACACCACCACACCTGGCCCATTTTAGGTAAATTAAAAGTGGCACCAATACCTCAGGGTTCCGTTTGCAATGGAAAGGATCTGAAGTCCATACTGGGTCACACAGCATTACTTCTGTCTCCAGACCTTTCCCCCTTACTCTTCTGTATTCCTGTGTACAGTGCTGTCTAGCTTGATGAGACAGGGAACACCTTAACAGCCGGTACTGTTCCTAATGCACCTTTGTAGCCACCAGAGTATCTCGTATAACTCTCCACACATAAAAGATGGTTAATAAATGTCCAGGGAAATTATAAAACAAAGCCCAATATGAAACAACTAATTAGTTTTGAAAGCTAGTAAATATAAGGAAAGAATAAAATATCCTAATCAAACCATACCACTGAATAACCCAATAGTCAATGAGGACAATCCCTTGTGAATGATGTGCTCCAGTTAATGAATTAAAGACTGAGATAGAATATCATCATTTTGCAACCCTCATAATTTAACAGATCATGTACTAAGCATCAAAGCTTGTGCCGCCACAAAGAGAGAGCTAGACATTGCATGTCTCCTAAAAGAAGACACACCAGCATCTAGGAAATGCCTTGTCAGTAAAATAGGAAAAACCTGAATCTCACAAGATTCAAGATTTAACAACCAATGGTCAGGAAATACAGAGGCAGAGAAACATATTAAAATAATAATACAGAGATTCAATAAACAAAGTCCAGGACATAATGAACTCTATGTGATAAATATCCTATTTCTTCAACAAATAAATGTAGAGGGAGGTGGATATTTAGGTAGATGGGCAGACAGGTAAAGAGACTTAAAAGACCTATCAGCCAATCACAATGTGTGGACCTGATTTGGATCCTGATTTGAATAAACTATGTAATGTCTAAGACAAGTGGAAATTTGACCGTTGATTATATTTGATGAATTTTAAGAATTATGGTTAACTTTTTGGTGTCATAATGGCTTTGTGATTACACAGCTTTAAGATGTTTATATTTTAGAGATGCATACTGAAATCTCTACTAACTAGACAATATGATATTTTGCTTCAAAATAATATGGGGGCAGTGGATGGGGATACAGATCAAACACAACAGGCAGAGGTGATATTGTTAAAGCAGGTGATGAGTAAATATGGGTTCACTGTATTCTTATTTTTTCTTTGCATATATTTGAAGTTCTCCATAACAAAATTGGTTGGTTTTTGTTTGTTTGTTTGTTTTGTTTAAACAAATAAAACCTAAGGTCCAGAAGATCAGAGAGGAAAACAGAGGATAAAAGGGAGCACCTGTGGGCTCCTCACTCACATGCACATGGTTCCCCACGTCCTCCTGGTACAGCAGAAAGGAGAGCAGTCCACCCTGGGTGATCTCACCAGCCAGTACCTGCTGCAGTCCACAGCTCAGCATCAGCACCTTCACACCCAAGCATAGCACCTGGGACAGGAGAAGAAAGAAAAAAGCTTAGGAGTCTTCCCATTCTTTCCCCCACTCTGCCCCTGTGAGATTGAGCTGCAAAGGACTTCAGAACCTGCTGTAGGTTTCTATTCCATCCCCTCCCTCTCCCTGTACCCCCTTCCCACACACTCTCACCCTCCGTATGAGCAGATACAGGGCTTGTTCCATGTCTCGCTGCCACCACAGATGACGACATTGCTCCAAGGCTTCCTTATAGCGACTGACTTCATGCCCCTCTGCCCCAAAACTGCGCACTGTCTGCAGCCCTCCGACTGCCTCCCGTACCACCTGCCCTGCCCTGGCCACTGCATCCTGGATCTGCAGAAGCACAGCCTGGAAAAGCAGGGCAGCACATATCCCAGGTTAATGCAGCAGAAGACAGCCAGCCCCCAGGTCTCATGCCAGCCCTGGGATGCTCCCCTTCTACCTAAACGCATCCAAATATTCTTTTTCCCTCTTCCTTACCTGTCTTCCCAGAAGGAAAAATAAGAGTAAAGGAGAAAGGGAACAAAATATTATTAAACTTTTACACTATTCTCGGGTAGTGTAAAAGATGCACACTATTTTTTCTTTTTTTTTTTGCTTATTTTTTATCTCTTGCACACTATTTTTAACCTTCATTTAAGATAATTCTTACACATACACATACACCATGTCTGATGGGGAAGAAGGAATAGTTTTCCCAAGGAGTCACTGCTAAATAAGAAAGGTGGTTTCTGAAGGAGTCATCACTAGTTAAGAAAGAGATGTAATTCAAAGTAGATCGAAGGACTAAATGTAAGAACTACAACTATAAAACTCTTAGAGAAACATAGGGAAAAAAGCTCAATGACAATCAATTTGACAATGAATTCTTGGATATAACATCAAAAGGATAGATGACCAAGAAATGGTTGTGTGGCTGGGGAGGATGGCTCAAGTGGTACAGTACCTGCCTAGCAAGTGTGAGGTCCTGAGTTCAAACCAAAGTACTGCCAAAAATTTTTTTAATTAATCAGACTTCATCAATATTAAAAACTTTTGTGACTCAAAGGATTCTATTAATTTTTGCCATCACAAAATGCAATAGAATATTTGCAAATCATGTTTCTAATAAGGAATTAATATCCAGAATACACAGGGCTGGCAGAGTGGCTCAAGTGGTACAGCACCTACCTAGCAAGTGTGAGGCCCTGAGTTCAAAACCCAGTACCATCAAAAAACAAAAACAAACAGAATATATAAAGAACTTCTTCAACTGAACAACAAAAACACCCAAATTTAAAAAAGACAAAGGAACTAAATAGACATTACTCCAAAGAAGATAACAACATTCTTAACACCACTAATCATTAGGAACATAAGTCAACATTTAACTGCCACATCACAACCATTAGAATGGTTATTTTTTTAAAAAAAAAAGACAACATAAAATAATAAAATTGAACAGCCACATGGGAAACAGTAGAGCAGTTCCTCAAAAAATAAAAATAAACTTACCACTTCACCCAGTAATTCCATTTCTGAGTATATACCCAAAAGAATTGAAAGCAGGGTCTCAAAGTCTTTGCCAGATATTCATCAGATAAAGGATTAATATCCAGAATATATAAAGAATTCAAAAAGTAAACACCAAACGGACAAACAATCCAATTAATAAATGGACAAATGAATTGGACAGTTGTTAAGAGAAGTCAAATGACTAATAAATACATTTTTTGCCATAAAGGGAATTCAAATCAAAACTACTTTGAGATTCATCTCACTCTATCAGAATTGCTGTTGTCATCAAGAAAACAAAAAAACAAATGCTGGTGAGGATAAAGGAGGGGGAAAAGGAAGCCTTATACACTATTGGTGGGAATGTAACTTAAGTGTAGCCACTATGGAAATCAGCATGAAGGTTCCTCAAAAAACTGAAAATAGAACTATCTTATGATCCTGCCATACCACTCCTGGCATATATCCAAGGGAATCCAAGTCTCACACACACTAGAGATATCTGTATGCATGCACACACGCACAAACACACACACTTTATACATATAAATCAGCACTATTCAAAACCAGTCAGACTATGGAATCAGCCTACATGTCAATCAGCTGAAAATAGATAAAGAAAATGTAGTATATATACTCAATGGAATATTTTTCAGCCAAAAGAACAAAATTATGCCATTATCAGAAAAATGGATGGAACTGGAAATCATCATGTTAAGCAATATAAGCCAGACTGAGAAAGAGAACTCCTTTCTCACCTCCTTTCTCATTGCAGAATCTAGACTTTAAAAAAAAAAGCAACCAAAAAATGATGTGAACATTAACAGGAGGAGCTGTTTTGGGATGAGAACCAGCAGGAGGGAGAGAATGAAAGGAGAGGATGAAGGTGCATTTATGAAAACAGACTAATGGAGCCCATTAAAAATGCTAGAAATGGGACCAAGTGTGATGTTTCACTCCTGTAATCCTAGCTTGTTGGAAGGCTGAGATTGGGAGGATTATGATTCTGAGCCAGCCCTGGCATAAAGTTGGCAATACCCCCCTCCCCCAGTCTCAACCAATGGCTGTGCATTGTGGTGTGCACCTTTCATCTCAGCTACACTGGGAACCACAAATACGAAGATCACGGTCCAAGCAGGCTGGGCATGGAGCGAGACCCTATCTCAAAAATAACCAACATGAAAAAGGCTGGCAGAGTAGCTCAAGTGTTAGAGTGCCTACCCAGCAAACACAAGGCCCCAAGCTCACTGCCAGTACTGACAAAAGAAAAAATTACTAAAAATGGATGGAGGAGGATAAGAAAGGTAGACAGAGTCACAGAGGGGGTGAATTTGATCAAAGTGAAGGTATATGCTTATATGGAAATATCACAATGAAACCCCTTTGTACAATTAGTATATGCTAATAAAAAGACAATAGGGTTCAAACAGATATTTGTATATCCATGTTTATAGCAGCATTATTCACAAAGCCAAAAGCTGTAAACATGTCCAGTAACCATTCATGGATGGCTAAGTAAGCAGGATGTGGCAGAGGAAGAGGAAGAATATTCCACCAGAAGTAGTGGTGGCACAACATTGTGACACTAAGTGCCACTGAGTTTTACAATTTAAAATGAGTCATTTTATGTGATATCAATTTTATCTTAATAAAACATTTTTAAATCAAAAAAGGAAGGCTATTCTGACACACGCTACAACATGGACGAATCTTGAAGACAAGCTAATTGAAATAAGTCAGTCACAAGGAGACAAATCTTGCATGGCTCTACTTACAGGCGCTGCCTAGAGTGACAGAATCTATAGAAACAGAAAGTTTGATGGTGGGTGCCAGGGGTTGCAGTGGGGTAGTGGAAAGGTGCTGTTTAATGGATGCAGAGCTGCATTTTAGGAAGATGAAAGAAGTTCTGGAGAGAGATGGTGGCAATGAACACACAACAGTGTGAATATGTTCAATGCCACTGATCTGTGCGCTGAACAATGATGAAAATGGTAAGTTTTATGTCCTGTGCTTTACCACAAGAAAGAGCAAAGGTAAAGCTGGCACTCAGACTCAGGACTTCCTGACTCAAGTCCTACTTCCCTTATTCTCCATCCAATTCCTTCTGATGATTTTATGTGAAGAAAATCTTCACCTAAACCCTCAAAGATACCCTTTTTGATCTTTTATGGGGAGGGTATGTGCAGACTCCTTTGAGAAGCCAATGAAAAGGTATTGTCTCTCTAGAAAAATAATCCCTTTACCCCACACACACTCACTCACACATGTACAGTTTTGCTTATAGTCCCAGGGGTCACAGAACTTCTAAATTCAAATGTATATCAATGGGTTGAATAAATGAACAAAATGTGGTGTAAAGGTACAATATACTCTAAGGAACAAAAAGAGAAAATTCTCTCTCCAGGGGATTCTACAGCTATAAATGTATAGTCCTCCACACCTTCTTCTCAATGTCCCCTAAAGCCCACATGTACCTGATGGCGGGTATTGTACACCTTCTCCGCTGCTATTGTGAGAGGCATGTCAAGTAGAGAGAGGAGGGTGAGTCGAGGTGACACACTGAGCATGAAGCTATAGAGCCCCACCACTTTCACCAGGCTCCGCAGGAATACATTGGCATTAAGAGGAAGCCAGCAACTCATCAGGGTGGTGTCTGAGCTCAGTCTTGAGTTCAGCTCCCCTGGAGAGGATAGAGTAGATGAGAAAATCACACACAGTGCAGAGCCTCCAAAAACTCCCTCCTGACTGGCCGGCTAACACAGCCTCCACCTCTCAACACCCTCCCTCACTTACAGAGAGATATGGAGGCTATGTCTTTACCCTGCCCCAAAAACAACAACAGGCTGTGGCAATGGACAGAGACAAGAGGGTAACTAAGGGACAAGGAATGGTCAAGGGAATCCCAGGTCTGGACTACAGCCCCCACCTGTCTTAGTCTCCTGGAAGAAACCCAGGTCCTGTCGAAGCAGGGAGGAGAAAAGCTGCTCTCGGATCCTCAAGTTGATTCTGGACATGGTGAGAAGGAAGGAACCTCCTCGGCAGCCTGCAGACAGTGAGCTGTGGGTAGGGAGGAAACAGAAGTGGGTTAAAGAGGAGAAGATGCAAAGAAGAGGGATGTAAGTGAGAGAAGCAGAGGAGAAAGTCCAGAGTCAAAAGACATACAAAGCCGAGAAAGCAAACCACAGGAGACAAAAGGGAAAGAAATGGCAGGGGAGCAGGAACAGAAAGGAAAGCACACAAAAGTAGAGGAAGAAAAAAGGGTAGACATGGTTTGTACATGTAGAAACAAACTCATAACATATACAAATTTTCAAATATTCATAGAATTCACTTTGTGCTAGACACAAGGGGAGAATGCAATAAAAGTGAAAAAGAAATTGCCCAGTGCTTGCTTCTGGCCTGGTCTTCCTCTGTGCTGTCACTCTGGGTTTCTCTGTTATAGTTTCTTACCTTCTCAGCAACAAAGCCCTCCTGCATAGTCACAGATGCTCCATTATGGGAACTGCATCAAGGAAATCCTGACCTCCATTCCCTGAAGCCCAAGAGGCACATTGACCCCATCTTTCAAACTTGGAGAATTCTACTTAGAACAACCAAATTCTTACCACAAAACTTAAAGAAAAATGTAAAAACATGAAAGCAGGTGTTTTACAAAATGTGGATTTCTAATACAAACTATGTTACCACAATTAAAAGGCTGTCAGAACAATTAGACATGAAATCTTAAGAGTATGGGACTTTGGTAATCACAGTGAAAACAGAGACAAAGAAGCCACACATAGGTGGAACAATTTGAAAGTAAAAAATGGTTGGGCTGTTGTTTTCATGTAAGGAAGACATCAGTGGTGCTGATGCTGCAGCTTAGAATACATATCTGATGGTTCCATGAATGGGAATAAGAAAAGGGAACCACTTTGAGAAGGAAGTGTGATACATATGGAATTTAGGTACCCAGAAAAATGAGTGAGAGTGGGCTACCCAATAGTAAAGCTAAGGGGAAATAGAGTTTACAAGACCACAGCTCAGTATGGAAATTCTGAGAACCACCTGCAGAGATTAACTGAGTCAGCTCAACAGGAAAAAATGGAATCCCAAGAAAAGCCCATATTTAAGGATCCAGAGGAGGAAAAATCTCCAATGGAGGCAGAGTAGATTGGAAAGTAGAAAGGGGGTTCCTAAAAGCTAACTGCAGAAAGAGGTCAAAAATAAGAGTTTATAGAGAAGCCAAAGAGAAGGAGGCTTCTCTTTAGGGGGGAAAAAACAAAGAGCAGTGGATTAACCAATATGAAGTTCAAGCTTGAATAATTAATATCAGCAGATAGTAGTAACAATGAAATGAAGATATAATGAAGGTTTTTAAGAGTATAATAAAGGGATATGACCATAAAAATGAGCAGATAGAGGTGACCTAGGATTGGAGTCAGGTGGTTGAGTCAGTGCCTCCTTAAACTTGCACTCTAAGTGCCTCACACCTCATTGTAGTCCCAGGCCTACCAAGCAATTTGGTTTTTTGGTTTGCTTGTCTTGTTGTTGGTTTTTTTTTTTTTTTTGCTTGTTTGTTTGATAGAACAGAAACCTGAGTATTTCTAGAAAGAGAGGAGAAAGCAGGTGAAGAGGAAAAGAGTAAACATGCTGAAAAGAAAGGTGATCAGCCTCCAAATAGAAGCTTTAGACATTGGCAAAATAAGTGAGGAATGAAAGACCAAGATGGAGAAATATGCCCACCTGCCAGGAGACCCTGGAGAGATACCCTGAAGACACACTTAGGGATGAGAAGGAGGTGGCAGAAAAGAGAAATGGTATTTTGTGGAGGTAAAAACGCTGAGAAAGACATTCCATTCTACTCATATTTGTACCTATATGGAAAAATGGATAGATGAAACAAAATGGTGAATAAATGCATGTATATTTTAGTTTAAGTATTGTGTGTCTGGGGCAAAACAAATCTAGAGAGAGTGTCTCTGTAAAGATTTAGTCTAGAAAAGGGACCCAATGCCCATCACCTACCTCCCAATGGAAAATAGGCACATGAAAAAGATGGCACTGCTAAAGGCATCCGGATCAAAAGCACCTCCAAGGATGTCAATCACACGACCAGAATAGTGAGGGATTAATGTCTCTCCTGAAAGAAGAGTGAAGGATAGCATGAATGTGTCTGTGCCAAGGCCCTTCTCCCACCTCCACCTCACCTTGTCCTCTCCCCACTCACCCAACACAGCCATAACAAGAAAGAAGAAGGCAGACATGAGGTAAGGCAGGTCTGGCCTGGAGAGCTTCAGCAACCTCCACATCAGGGCTTTGTTGTTCTCCTGGCCTGGCTCCCTCTCCTGGACTCCTGGAAGGCTCAGCACAGCCCATAGAGCCCAGCTGAGCCCTGCAGCCCCATACCCAGCCAGCAGCCAACTCCAAGAAGCTGAAGCCACTCTGACTGGGGGGGCACTCAAGGCCCCTCCCACCAAGGCTCTCAGGGAGAGAAACAGAGGGGTTGCCAGGCACAGCACAGGCAATAAGGTCTCCACAAATCCCAGCAGCCCTCCCAGCTTTAGCAGCCCCCAAAGTCCTCCCAGTCGCAGGGTCCCCTCCAGCCATAGTCCTGGAAGGCCTTGGGGAAGCACAGCTCCTAGAGTCCCCTGAAGCAGCCAAAGTAAGGCCATGTCCACCAGCAGCAGGGAGGCCCAGGACCTCAAGTCAGGGAGCTGCATGACGCAATGATCTATGGGTAGAAGGTGAGAATTTAGGGGAGGGATCTTGTCCCAATCCTTGTTCTGATCCTCCTGCCCTCCCAACCCCCCACGGACCAGAGGCTCCTTGTTTTATCCAGTCCCACCCTGAAAGATCTCCTGGGTATTGCGTGGTCAGCAGTCCATCCCCTCCTAGAACAGGCAGATGCTGTCTTGTCCTAGGAAGCTGAGAGTCTGCTCACACGTTTAAAAAAAAAAAAAAAGCCTGACTGGGTCACTCTGCCATCTCCCGCCTGCAGCTCCTAAATTTCCAGCGAGCCAAGCGGTCCCAGCTGCAGTCCTCCACTCGCTGGGGTCAGACAGCAAGGAAGTGGGAACACCGATGGAGGGTGGGAGGGGCTGCCGCCCTCCTAGCGCTCTGGGTTTCCATTCCCAAGAACTCACCCGCAGCGGCGGTGGGACAGCAGTTCCACAGCGCTCTCGGTAAGTGCGGAGCACAGACCCTGAAGTCCGCTCTCTCAACTCCGTTTCCCCCTCTGATCCGCCAGCTCACTGTCCCCGCGAGGGCCCGCGCGGTGCCGCGGCTTTCGCTTTCGCTTCCCAGCACAGAGCCGCGTTCCGGGCGCTGCGGCCAGGTGGCGGCGCCCGAGACCTGCAGACGCGGAACCCTGCTCAGCAAGTCCCTCTGGGCATCCCACATCCCCAGTTATGCTCACCCTCCCTGGTGGTTACTTTGTAACTAAAACTGCAAAATTGTTTCAGTGACTGAACCACTGGGTTTTGCGTTACTAGCTCAAGTTCTGAACCTATTTTGAGTTCTCTCAGCCAGACGCAGGTGACTCACGCCTGTAATCCTAGCCACTCACGAAGCAGTGATCAGGCGGATCGAGATTGGAAGGAAGTCAGCCTGCAGAAATAGTTCCAGAGACCCTATCTCGAGAATAGAATAGGTGAAAATTTAAGGAGGTGTTATCCCACAACTTGTCCCGATCCTCCTGCCCCCTCCAACCCCACACTGAAAGGTCCTCCCGGTGCCGCATGCCAGACAGCGTACCACCCCTGGGATGGAGGACATTCTCCCAGTCCGCGAGAGATGGGAGTCTGCTCGCGCTATTAGAAAACAAACAAAAAAAAAATCCTGACTGTTTCTCTCCGCCACCACTGCCTGCCTCCTCAAAAGCGGTCCCAGCTGCAGTCCTCCACTCCCCCGGGTCAGAGGGCAGGGGAGCGGGTAGAAGGCATGGGTGGTGCGAGGGGCTGCTCCCCTGCTCGCACTCCGGATTTCTGTCCTCAAGAACTCACCTGCAGCGGCGGCGAGACGGCAGCTCCGCAGGGCACTCGGTAAAGTAGAGGTCCAAATCTGAAGTCGTCTCCCTCCTCCTCCTCCTACTCTTTGTACCCTCCCTCTCCCCTCTATCTCTCTCTCAATGAGGCTCCCCCTCAGGTCCGCCAGCGTCACTGTCCGGGTGAGAGAGCCCTTGAGAGCCCTTCAATGTCCAAGGCTTTCGCTTTGGCTTCCCAGCCCTGGCTGGCATTCTGAGCGCAGCACCTGGAGGGCGGCTCAGACAACCGCAGACCTAGAAATCCTGATCCTCAATTCCCACGGATGTCCAAGGTCCCCAGTTAAATTCAGCCTCCCGGTGGTTACTTTGTAACGTAAAACTGGAAAATATTTTCAGGACTGAACCACTGGGTTTTCTGTTACTAGCTCAAGCTCTGAATCTATTTTAAGAAGCACCTGCTCAACCCAGGCAAATTCATTGTAGGGTCTTGTGTAAAAATGGATCTAGACCCTGAGAAGACACAGGCAGGGCCGCTCCTAAATAAAGACCTGAGGAGATTTCCACTTACAGATTGGGAATTAGGGGTCTCTGACCCATTGTCTTCATATGTCCTTGTCAACAGAGCACCTGGAGCAGGGTATCAAGGTTTCTTCTCTGAATTATGCTAGGAGAATTGTCAGCATGGGAGGGAAATTCCAGGGACTGACCTATTTAATACAGATTAGATTATCAGTCAGGTTTCTACTCAAGTTTCTACTGGTCCTGCACAGAGCTAGCAATGGAACCTGTAGATTTGTTTCTTTCATTTTTTTTCTTTTATTCATAAGTGCATACAATGTTTGGGTCATTTCTCCCCCCTTCCCACCGCCCCTAGATTTATTTCAGAATTGACTCTTCAGGGGAGGTGATGTGACACAGTAATAGATTGCATTGCTTGCTTAGCATGCCTGAAGCCCTGTGTTCCATCCTCTGCCATATGTTACTGTGCTCAAATCAGAGCACCATTTTCATAAATGACTTATCAGGTTGAAACTATCTTGCAAACTAAAACAGAAAAGGGGAAAAAAAATCCCCAAATGGACAATTGCTTGGATTCCAAACCACTGATGTGGAATGTTATCAGTGTGTCTATCAATGAGTCACTTAACTTTTAAAGTAGTTGGGAGGAAGAAGGTTTGAAGTAGGGAATAACTAAAATGTCTCTGACCCTCTCTGTTATGGACTTAGAGATCTCTCCAGGAAAGAAAGAAAGGAAGGAAGAAAGAAAAAACTTCACACTGCTGTTTTTGTCTTTCACCCATCTCCTTTACCTAAGTGAGAGGACCTGGTTCCTGCTCCTTCCTGTAGCTCCTGAGTGTTTCTAGAGTCTCCTTGTGTCTGTCTCTTTTTTCTAACCTTCCTCTTTTACCTTTTCCTCATATTCCCCACTTCAGAGAGTAGGACTCCCTACTTATCTCCTTTTTCTCTTCAGTCATGATCCTGTCATCTTAAAATCAAATGTGACACATCACTAATGTCCATCTTCACATTCAATATCCAGTATCTCAGAGGTGTTATTTAGGGTAAATGGTACAGTGCCTATAATTACCACATGTGTGAGGTGGAAGCTTTTCATTCATTCTACAAAGCCAAAAACAAATGTGTTAGGTACCCTACTTCTAGTCACCCAAACCATCAGCAAGAGACCATATAAGGAGTCTTCAGATTGTGTCTCTTTAGAAAGGACCCTAGGCTAAATAAAACTGCAAATGAGTGGCAAAAGAGAGACAATCAGTCCTCCTGAGGTCCTAGAGGGATGAGTGTGCAAGAAATGCCTAGGGAAGAATTTTTCAGTGAAGCCCTATCTTAGATGGATGGGTGAGTCTTTTCCCAGGAAAAGTTTCTCTTGATTTCCTGTCGCATCTCCCCCTCCCAAAAAAAAAAAAAGAACCCACACCACAGCCCCATTCAGCCACAACACAGAGGTGTTTATAACCGTTTTTCTTTTATTGTGCATAGGGAGCCCCCAGAAAGTCCCCAGGATAGATGCTCAGTGAAATAAAGACACAAAAGAATGAACTCAGCCTTCCCCCACTGGTCACAGAGCCCATTCTTTATCTTTCCTCCTGGGACTTTGCTCACCCAGGTCCCTGAGTTGGCTAAGGTCATCCAGAAGAGGCCTGCCCAATCATCACTGCCATTACTGATTGGCCTCCTGGTACTGGTACATCAGGTCACTGACATCTGTACTTTCCACTTTCACCCAACCATCTTCCTTCATGTGATACACTGTGGATGAATGAGAAAAGAGCACAGAGTCACCCTTCATCTCAGCAAGTTATGTTAATGGTGTTAGGTTGATGTCAAGAACAACACATGAGCACATACACACATACACATGCCCCAAACCATTATCATTGGGATTTGATGTACTTTTCTGACTCTGAAAACATACTCCCTACCACTCAGCTGCCACTGAGTCTCCCAAACTAAAATCTCTCCCCTTCTCTCAGGTATGGTGGTGAAGTATTGGTTTCTTACTATTGACAACGCCTCCAGAATAGCTGTCTCTGTGGGTGGCATGAACAATAGCCCTGCGACCAAGGTCATAGGCCTCTTCAGGACTAAGATTGGGCCGATAGCCACTGTCCATGACCCCATAAGCATAAGTGTTCCCACTACCAGTGGAGAACATATGTCCAGAGAGCCGAGTCCCATCTTCATTCACATAGTAGAGTCCTGGACCCTATAAGGTGAAGAAAGGTTCCAGGTTGAATTTGGAAAGGGATTTGTTGGTAACAAGTGTGCATTATAAAAAGTGGATAAAAGAATGAAAACCACCATGGGAACATTTGAATTAGGATAGTACTTTGGTTTAAAAAAAAAAAACTTCGGGAAACAATATGGAGGCTTCTTTAAAAGTAAACATAGACCTACCTACCCATCATATGATCCAGCAATACCACTACTAGGGATGTACCTGAAGGAATGTGACTCAGGTTATTACAAAGGCACCTGCATACCATGTTTACTGCAGCACTATTTACAATAGCCCAGCTATGGAAACAGCCAAGATGCCCCATTACTGATAAATGGATTAAGAAAATGTGGTGTGGAATTTTATGCAGCCATGAAGAAGAACGAAATGTTATCATTCACTGGTAAATGGATGGAATTGGAGAACATCATTCTGAGTGAGGTTAGCCTGGCCCAAAAGACCAAAAATCGTATGTTCTCCCTCATATGTGGACATTAGATCAAGGGCAAACACAATAAGGGGATTGGACTATGAGCACACGAGGGAGGGGTGAGGATAGGTAAGACACCTAAAAAACTAGCTAGCATTTGTTGCCCTTAACGCAGAGAAACTAAAGCAGATACCTTAAAGCAACTGAGGCCAATAGGAAAAGGGGAACAGGTACTAGAGAAAAGGTTAGATCAAAAAGAATTAACCTAGAAGGTAACACCCACGCACAGGAAATCAATGTGAGTCAATGCCCTGTATAGCTATCCTTATCTCAACCAGCAAAAACCCTTGTTCCTTCCTATTATTGCTTATACTCTCTCTACAACAAAATTAGAAATAAGGGCAAAATAGTTTCTGCTGGGTATTGAGGGGGGGGAGAGGGAGAGGGCGGAGTGGGTGGTAAGGGAGGGGGTGGGGGCAGGGGGGAGAAATGAACCAAGCCTTGTATGCACATATGAATAATAAAAGAAAAATGAAAAAAAAAAAGAAAATGTGGTATTTATACACAATGGAATTTTATTCAGCCACAAAGAAGAATGAAATTTTGTCATTCGCAGTAAATGGATGGAACTGGAGAACATCATCTTAAGCAAAGTCAGTCAGGCTCAAAAGGCCAAAAAAATTACATGTTCTCCCTATTATGCAATTATAGACCTAAAACAAATGCAGTAATATTATTGGACACGGGTCACACACTAAGGAGAGACTGAGATTGTGCATGGGAGGAATATGGAAAGGAAAGGAAACTTAAAACTTGAATGTGGTTGGTATGTTCACCGTAGAGGAGTGAACACAGTAATCTGAAACTGGCAGAGGCCACTATGGGAAGGGGACTAGGAAGTAGTGAAGAGGTCTGGTAGAGATGAACCAACGTGGGTTATAATACACATGTGCATGGAAGCAACCCTAGGACTCTCTCTGTATAGCTATCTTTATCACAAACTAGCAAAAATGCTATGTCTTTCTAATATCTCTTATGTTTTCTCTTCAACAATATCAGAGAACAAGAGGGCAGGACAGGTTCTGCCCAGAAGTGGGTTGTGGGGGGAGGTGGCCTAAACAATATACACACATGAGTAAATATAAAAATGATAAAATAAGAAATATGTTTTAAAAAGATTTATTTCTAGAAAACAGATTGTTGTTAAAATTATATATATACATATATATATCCCAAATAAAACTTGAGTCATGCTATCTTACAGGTTAAAAAAATCATAGAACTTTACAAATAAAAGAGGAAAGACAAACTTGGATCCAGCTATTTTAACAAAAGAGATCATGACCCACATCTGAACCAAGAAACCGCCTGTAGAATAGTTCTAGAACTAAGAGTTCTCTATGCAGTGTATCTTGTAGGATGGGAGTGAGAGAGTACAAGGGGCAGGAGATCTCTCATCCATGTTGAGGTAGCATGGGAAATGCAAGGACCCACCTTCTTGTCCCAGCCACAGATCATGCTGCCCATGGACAGACCCATGCCCCGGTACTGGCACATCATGTTGGCAAGCAGTTTGGAGGCTGCTGACACTGAGATACGCTCCCCATTCCGCAGATAATATAGCCTGGATAAGGATGGGAGAAGGAGGAAGGACTTAAAGGTGGTAGAAGAAGGTTAGCTCTCTCCCATTTGATGGAGCAAGAAATGATTAAAGAGATATATATTCCAAATAAAACTTGAATCATGCTTCTTACACGTTAAAAAAATCATAGAACTTAACAAATAAAAGAGGAAAAACAAACTTGGATTCAGCTATTTTAACAAAAGAGATCATGACCCACATCTGAACCAAGAAACAGCCTGTGGAATAGTTCTAGAACCAAGAGTTCTCTATGCAGTGTATCTTGTAGGATACACTTGTAGGATGGGAGTGAATTAGAAGGAATTATCTTATAGGATCTAAGGATCAGGGAAAGATTTGGATTTCCAAATATCTAAACCACATAAACAAATCCTAGTAAATGACACTATCTGACCCAGGGTCAACAATGTCCATGCTTAACAATTGACAAATTATCTGGCTCATGAGCAGGAACAAAGAGTAAGGTTTGGGAGAAGCCTTTTATTACCCAAAGGCTATTTTGTGAAATACCTTATTAGCACTAAGATGAAACATGGGACAAGGGTGAGGAACAGTGATCCAAGAAATGCAAGGATCAACCTCTGGGCTGAAAAAGTGAGATGAGAGACTTGCTTACCTGCACTCCTTGGCCAACAGACGTTCCCAGTACTGGCAATCTGCCGCACTGCCAGACATGGTGCCAAGAAGGTAAGGATTAATCTCAATCACCTTGTTGACCCGTATGGTGTCTGCAATGAGAGTTTTGAGAGTGGAGAAATGAACCCAGTTCTCTTTGTCTAAATCAATACCTGCTCTGTTTTGGTGCAGACATTAGGCTTCTGCTAAAAAGAAGGCTCAGCTTCCCAGACTCTACACACACACACTCACCAATGTAACTCCCAGCCGAAGCCCGGGAATCCACTGCTACAATCACTCCATGCTGGAACTTGAAGGCCAGGGTGGTTGTGCCATGGGCCATCTCAATCTGAATATTGCTTTCTCCATCTCCACCTATGCACCTCAAGAATTTGGTAGGCTAATGAAAGAGAAAAGGAAAGGGGAAGGCAATGAATGCTTCTGTAGTAGGAGGTTCACAGGAAAAGGTGTTAGAGAGAATGGGGGAGACAGAGATGTGCCCAAATTCTCTAACCACCAATAAATATAACACTTAATAACCAATCTCTAGAAGGAAATGGTGTGGAAGAAGGGAAAAAAGCACAATTCACCATCCTGTTCCATTTTCCAACACAAAAGAAAACAAATATCACCATAACTAAAAGCTTTAAGAATGACTTTAAGGATTTTCTCATTCATAGGTTCTTCAACCTAACAAAACATGTTTAATTAAGGTTTCCTCATTTTACAGAAGAGGTCTTGAGACCTAGACTGCATGATTTGTTCTAGGACACAACAGTGAGTTGCTGAGGCCAGGCGAGCCACCAAAGTTCATAGGTCTTCCAGAACACTGTACAGCCCCTACAAGTTAGGATAATCCCATTTAAAAAGACTTTGTGATTTGTATGTGGTGGAGAAAAGGCAGGAATGCCCTCTTTTCTTCCAGTCAGTGCTCCTGCTCACCTCTAACTCATTCCCCTAATCTCCACTGCCTAACCGGCTGACCCCATCCCCACGTGGGCTCCTCCCTGGGCGGGCTCTGGATGTTGGGCTCCTGGACTGAAGGACACACACACACACACACACACACACACACACACACAAACGTATCCGTGCATCCCACCGTGCAGCCTCAAGGTAGGCCCTCCCTTCCTCTGCGTCTTCCTCCCTCAGGGGTCCCTACTACCCTTACCTGCATTCCCCGGGGGAGGGCGAACTCCGGAGCTCGCATAGAGAAACTGTAGTGTCCGGGGTCCGAGCGATGCCCGCTTCCCGCATCCAGGGCAGCCCAGTCGGGCCGCTGCCCTTTGGGGGCTCCGCACACGTCCAGTAACGCCATGATTGCTCTTCACCCGGAGATCAGAGCTCCGTCGACTCTCTGAGGAGGAAGTGAAAGCGAAAGCCACAGTACCAAGGGGGAGGGAGCCAGAATTTTTTCCTCATCCCCCTGCCCTTTTCCAGAAGGTGGATGTCGGAACCAGGAGTATCATATTGGGGTCAGACTTCACGGAAGTCGGGGAAGCTATGGATAAGGGCTGTAAGAAGGAAGAAAGAAAGGGAAAGAGAAAGAGAAAGAAGGAAGAAAAGGAGCGAGAGCCTTCTGAAGCCCCTAGGCGTGCATTATCACATTAAGCGACACCGACAGGCAGGGCATCCTCTGCAAACTGCGGAGTAGGGTCATATCACCGAAGGCGTAAGCCTCAGTTAGAAAACTGGAAGTCTGCAAGGGCGGCAGGCATTTTCACGTAGCACTGTGAACTGGGGATTGGGGGACAATGTTCATATAAGCATCATTTTATAAAAATCAAGGAGGAATAGGAATAGGTCGGGGCTGCGTCTTGAAGACAGGTGCTGGGGCAACCGGAAAAGAAAAAAACTCCTCAGTGTGGGCAAAGGAGGCGTCAAGGAAAGGACAAAGTCTCTGAATCTCTCAATAGGTCCGTCATAGAATCCCTCCCTGCCCAACGGTCTCACTAGCCTGAGGCCACCCACAACAATATGCCCTTTCTGTCCGCCCCTCTTCGCCTGGTTCCTGGCTAGCCTGACAGCGGCTCAGCTCAAGTCCTCTAAACCCCGCCTCTCTTTGCAGCCTGTGTTGAACTCATCTGCCCAGCAACTGTTGACGTCACACCATACCCGCCCTCCCTGAATGGAAGAGATTTACTAGGTAATCCGGCCCACTTCTTTGAGATAACCCAGACAAGAATCACTGCGGAGCCCAGTGAGCCCTTGGGGAATAATCAGACCGAGCCAGGCGGCAAAGTGTGACTCGCTTCCAGCCCATCCGCTGGCCAGCTGGCACTTCCTCCAGCTACGTTCACCCTGCATCTTCCACCCGACCGGCTCTCTGAGGGACAGGTGCCCGGGGCGGGGAAGGTGGGGGAGGGACAGCGCGGGGGTAATACGTCCAGGTCCCGCTTAGTCTTGGGAGCGAGGGACGCGGAGGGAGGACGTAAGAAATGGGAAGCTTAAGGGAGGAGATGAAGCACCTAGGGCTGTAAACCATTGAGAATGCTAAGAGAAGAAACTTCGGGAAGCCGAAAGGTGCATATGAAACTCAGCAAGCTGTTTGGAGGAACCACAAAGAGAACCACAGGAGAAACCACAGTACAAAACACCAATTTTATTATAAATATCACTACTCCACAGCATATTTATGGGCCAACATACGCCTTGGGTCATATTGAAGGCAGCTGGTCTTCCACTACAAACATTTCTTCCCATTTTCAGAACCAAAATACCAAAGCATCAACCCTGGCTCTAAACCCAGTTACACTAAGGCGTAACAAATCCTTCCCAGAAGTCACTATCAAGAGGATTTTGGAGAGAAAGTAACACTCGTGGCAAATTCAAGCATCATCTCCGGTGGTTACATTTTGGCATGTAACTCCTCCTAGCAGGAGCTGTCTACTCTGCAGCTCTGATAAGATCTTTGCTCCCAAGTCCACCGCAGAGAGAGAAGAAAATGAAGGTAAAGGTAGTATGCAATTCCAAGAAGTGTGTCATTCTGAAGTAGCTGCAGGAGCCTGAACCATGGCGCAGTAGCACCCATTATTTTCCATGAGCTGCTGGTGGGTTCCCTCCTCACAGACAGTGCCTCCTTTCAGAAAAAGAATATGATCAGCCTGCTCCACCAAGCTAAGATTCTGGGTGATGAAAAGCACAGAGCGAGAGCTCCGCTCAGGGCTTTCATAGAGGAGCTGCTGCACCTGAAGAAAGATACAGATCTTGTCAGGACTGGAACCACTGCCATCCCAGGAGCCCTCGGTGCTTCCAGAGCTCGGATATAGCACTGCCAGCTCTGCTAACAACCCCAAGGACATTGAAGATTCTGGTTCTAAGTGCGTCTCTGCCAAACCCTTGCTTCATTAATGATTATTTACAGAAAGTGGCACAAATGGGATAAAAATAGGAGTCCTATGGTAAAAGAACAATGAAGAGGGCTGAATTTTCATGGACTGAAAATTTTTATCCTAGATTTTAAGGAAATAAAGCTTAGTAGTAAAGAGCAAGAGCATTCAAGTCAGGCAGACCTGAATTTGGGTCTGGGCTCTGCTACTCAAATCTGTGTGCCCTTCAGCAGATTATTCACCCATAGAACCAGGATAATGAAGCCCACAAATAAATGAGTGATACAGTGGAAGGCCAAGGAGCAAGTCTGGCACATAGTACAGCTTAATTAATATTAATATTATTAAGGTAATCTTTTCCTTATGTTTGGTGTTAGTGATTCAGAGCCTGCAGATAGTTTCTTTAAATTCATTCTGGATGTCTTGGAGGAAAGCTAACAGGATCTGAGAATTCCAAGGACAGGTTTGGACAATTATGATATTGGTTTGTCCAACATGGGATAAGTAAAGGAAGTAAGAGTCAGTGGGATCAGGGCATTAAGAGTTATCTCTCTTCCCAGGCGTGGTGGTGCATGCCTAAAATCTCAGCTATGCATGAGGCAGTGATTGGGAAGACTGAGGTTTGAGGCTAGCCAGGGCAAAAAGTTAGTGAGACTTCCACCTCAACAAAAATGCCAGAGGCATATCTAGTAGGGTCATGATCCAAGGCCAACTCCAGGCAAAAATTAAGACCCTATCTAAAAAGTAACTACAGCATAAAAGGCTGGTGGCATGGCTGGCTCAGGGGTTACAAAAATAAATAAATAAATAAACAAACACACAAAAACAAGATAACTCTCACCCGTAACTGGCTGTTTGCATCCAGGGCACTGGTGGCATCATCCAGGATGAGTAGACGTGGTTTCCTAATCAATGCTCGAGCCAAGGCCACTGCCTGTCGCTGACCTCCTGACAGCTGACTCCCAGCCTCTCCTGCCTCTGCAGAGAAAAGAGCCTAAATGAGAGCTCTAAATGAGAGTGTGTGTGTGTGTGTGTCCCCACAGTCACAAGTGGGGACACACACACACACACACACACAAGGCAATAATTAAGGCAAGATTATTGGAATCTCAGTAAAGATGAGATGGTGAAATGAGTGAGTACCTGTGTCATAACCCTGGGGAAGTCTAGAGATGAAACTATGGGCTCCAGACTCTATTGCAGCAGTTGTGATTTCCTCCATAGTTGGTTTCTGGACCAGGCCATAGGCAATGTTTTCTTGGAGACTCCTTCCAAACAGCTGTGGCTCTTGTCCTACTGCAGCTACCTGAAATGAAATGTGATGAAGAACAAGGACCAGAGGAATATGGTTATCTAGGGATTGAAGACTCAAAATTAAGAGCATATCGTGAAATTACACACCACTTCCTGAGCACACCCCCATTCCACCTAGCACACGCTAACCCTCCATTCAGAATGCTCAGTGAAGATGCTCTTCTTATTTGCTACTCCTCCACTTCTCCATGCCACCTTCTTGCTTACCTGTCTATGCAGGTAGCAGTGCTCATATTGAGGAAGGGGCTTCCCATCCAGCAGCAGTTTCCCCCTGGTGGGCTGGTACAGATTCTGCAGCAGGGCAGCCACAGTGCTCTTCCCAGACCCATTGGGTCCCACCAGCGCTGTAACCTCTCCAGGACGCAGGGTGAACGTCAGCCCCTGAAGGTCAATGAATCACACAGTAAGAGGCAATTGGAGGCCTCTAACCTTGAAACTGTCATTGTCTCATTATATAGCATAACCTCTTACCGCAGAGATAAAAGGAGAAAAATGGAGACAAAAGGAGCAACTTCTACCTCCCACATGCACAGACTTCTGGAATGATGCCTCCCAAGGAGAAGAGATGGAGGGTGAAACAAAGACAAGGGAGAAGACCAAGTACCACTATGCCATATACTTGATATCAGATACCATCAGGAAATGTGGGAAAGTCATATTACAAATCACAAATGAAAAGAAGGAGGACTGGAGACAGATTCTGCCATGGCAATTCCTTGGAACATGAAAGCCTTCTCTGAAACCTCTTCTCCCATTCTCCATGGAAGCCCAAACTGATTCTTCAGTTTGGGGGTGACTTATGGAACAGGCTTATGCCTTTGAAGGTTTAGGAAGGACCTGGGCTTGATGTTAAGCAGTGGAAAGCTTGAAGGAAATTTAGGATGGCAGAGGTGAAGATGGAGTAGAAGGGTTGGTAAGCTGTACCTGCAGCACTGGGACATCTGGAGAATTTGGATAGGCAAAGGAGACATCTTGAACCTGGACAAGGCCCTCCATCTCTAAAGGAGTCAATGGACCACTGGGTGGGCAGCAAGGAGTCCGATTCAGGTATTCAAATATTTCCTCTGAGGAGCCCACAGCCTTCTGTACCCGGGGATAGGTAGATAGCAGTACCTAGAGAGGAGGCATAAATAGTGGAGTCAAGAGAGGAGACCCAACCTGCTTGCTAGCATTATGTGATCTAAGAAGGGTAAAGAAGGAAGGCAAACACATGTGACAATGGGATGGGGAAGAAATAGCACAGGGCAATGAAACTGGAGGGACCTCACCTCAACAGCTGTGGTGAACTGGATCTGGTAGAGAATAAATGTGACCAGGTTCCCACTGCTTATAGCCCCTCTTGTCACCAGATGCCCACCAATGTATAAGATTCCCACCTTCAGCAGCATCCCTGAGATCTACAGAGAGAGCACAGGAAAAAAAGAATTGCATGAGAAAAATCCACAGGGGACACAAAGCACCAGAGTGATTAGTATCAAGATATAAAGTTCCTCTCTCCCAAACAACAGTAGCAGGCTCAATAGTTTAGAAAGGAAGAATGAATCACAGAGACCCAAGGGTGTGACTCAAACAGAGATCACAAAAGTGCTTCTTATTTTCATCACCATCACCATTATCCCCTTATTTGGGGAGCATTTTACTCTTTACATAAAGCTTTTATAAATGCAATACAGGCTAATACTCATATCAAGAGCTGCTGTAAGGAAAGCTGTGTCATTCCATTTTTTTAAAATGAGGAATCAGTTGCAGAGAAGTTACTTGCCCATAGTCACAGAGCTAGTATATAGCAGCATCAAGCCTGGAACTTCTGATTGCTGCTTTAGTTCTCTTTATATCAAAGATGCCCCTCATCCCTGTCTTCCAGCATTCCCATGGCTGTCATTAGTACATCCACACAGCATCAGCCTGAGGTAGACATTGCTACAGGAATTTATGACTCTCTGAGCTTCCCCCAAGAGGTAAAGGAAAGCTCCAGGAGTAAGAGACACAGCCTTTCTCTAATACCCTAGGTTGGGTGGATGGTGTGTACCGCAGGGGAAGGAAGCAATCTAGCATCCCTAAAAAGAAGGGAGGGGTTAGGGACACAGGACAGTAATTGATTCTCATCTTGCTAGGATGTAAGCACTGGAACAACAGCTTTCCAGGGGAGGAGGAACAGAAACAGAGTTAACAAGGAAATGGAGTCAAGGCATCTTGGGGACAAGGAAATGGACATTCATCTCTGGATGCTCACACTGGTGGTCCAAAGGTTGGCTACATAGACCAGGGCCTCCTTCTGGTTGAGTGTCTTCATTTTCTCCAGCTTCTGCCTAAACTTCTGGGCCTCTCCCTCCTCATTGGCAAAGCTCCGGACTGTAGGCATAGCTGACAGGGCCTCAATGGCCACCTGGCTTGACTCTGCCAGGGATTTCCGCACCTGTGCTTCCAGTGACTGTGAAGACATGGACAAGAGATGTCACACAGGGTTAGAAACTAATACCTCAGTTACCTGATTGGAAATTAAAGTCAAGAATAGGTAGAGGGACAGCAGAGAAGAGAAAGGGGCATAGTATACCTCCAGTACTAAAGAGGTGCAGGGGAGAGAAAGAAATAGCTCTGAATAGATTGGAGATCATATCCTCAAAGACAGGCTGTGAGCAGAAGTTAGAAAAGAAGACAGAGAACATGGAGATCAGTGTTGGGCAATCTGGAAACATGGACTATAGGGACAGGAAGCTCCATGAAGATGGAGAACCAGTGAGGATACCAGGAAAGTCAAGCTGGAAGCAGTCTGAGAGGAACTGACTCTGCCAAGTGTGGGAGATGAGGGTCTGTGTTGGGTAAGCCAACTCCTTGAACATACCTGGTACCATTTTCCCAGTTTCTTCGGCAGAAAGAAAAACAGAGGCAGGGTGACCAGGGTGATTATGGTGAGGGTCAGTGAACCCCAGAGCATGAACGCCAAGAGACACAGCCCCCGCACCAGGTACCACATCAGGAGGCTCAAATTCTCACTCAAAGACTCACACATGCTAGATGTGTCATCTGTTACCCGAGATGTGATGGCACCTGCCAGGGTTGGGGAAAAGACAGTTGAGTGAATGAGACGGCCAGAGTGATGAGAGGAGCTAACAAAAATCCAGGGTGCTAGGGTAGCAATGGTCTAAGGAGGCTCAGGCAAACAAGTTTAGGGATTTGGGGAGGTGTAGGAATCTCAATGCAGGGAAAATGAGTTTTAGAGAGGAAAAGCCTGGCCAAACCCTTCCTTTAAATTATAAAAGAAGTTGACACACTGCAATTTTCCATTCTCTGAAGGTTTTCTGTTAAGAACTTGCACATATTCCCTTCTGGCCATGTAGCAGACTTGGAGGAGAAGGGAGGCCACTGCTAGGAAGCAATCTGAAAGTCCCTAATGAATGCTGCACTGGAAATCGAGATGAAAGGCTCTAACCCCAAGTTTGTCTCTGGCCACATACAACTGTGCAAGTTTCAGCACTGAGTATCTAGAATTCAGTTTCTTTCTCTGTGAATGAATCAGTTGGACTTCATGATCTCAAAATTTTCAGGTTTGAAATTCTGTACTTTTTTTTTAAGTGGAACTGGGGTTTGAACTCAGGACTTCAAGCTTGCAAAACAGGCACTCTACTGCTTGAGCCACACCTCTAGTCCATTTTGTTCTGTTATTTTGGAGCTGCCGTCCCTCAAACTATTTGCTTGACCAAACCAAGATCCTTCAGATCTCAGTCTCACAAGTAGCTACAATTACAGGTATGAGCCCCCAGTGCCCTGCTGAAATTCTGTAGTTTTTATCAAAAGACAAATCTGAGCCCATGTGTCCTAAAACACAAACTACAGAATTTCAATTCTGTGGACTTATGAGGAATTCTAAGAACAGTAGTTTTTTTGGAAGGTAAAGGCATATTTTGCTCCTGAGATATATCAAGAATAAGAAATGTGTGCACGCCTGTGTATGTGTAAGAGACAAAGGGAAATTGATCAAAGTTATAAGTGGGGAAAAAAAGCCTTATAGAGATATAAAGAGTATGTGTATATATAATGAAAAAATTTCAGGAGAAACCTGTTTGGTTCTGCAGGAAAAACTCTGTCTCCTGGCGCAGGACAGCCTGGAACACCTCTCTCTGTAAGTGGCTGTGCACCCGGCCCTTGGTGCTGTTAAAGATCCCATCGCCCATGAACTCAAGCACTGCACTAGAGAGAGTTGGGAAAGGAGGGTCAGGGTGTGCTCAGGGGATGGAGAAAATGTCCCAGTGTCCCTGTGGGAGTGCACTTTGGACAGCAGCCCAAACTTCAACTCCTCTAGGGTCCCCATTCTCAGTCCTGAGACCTGGCTATGGTGAGAATGGACATGAGAGCTATGTTTCGAGTGAAGGCATCCGCTGTCCTGTCTTGTAGAATCCAGTCAGTGAGGCGGCCTGTGAAGAACGGAATGGCCATCTCCCCTGGAGAGAGAGGAGACATCAGTCAATCACAAACATTAAGTCTGAGCAAGTCAGTTCCCATCTCCTCACCTTCTGCCTCCCTCCCCTCGCTATTATCCTGGAGGGCAGCGACAGAAAGAACAAATTGCGTTCATGGTACCAACCCTGAATAGGCCACAACCCTGTGGTTGCCCCACCAGACCATTCAGGAGGCTAATTAAGAAGGGCAGAGATTGTGGAGTCTAAAAAGCTAAATATTCTGCTGTAGAGGAAGGACTTGCACACAGCGCCCAGTCCAGCACTGATTCCAGGACTCCTGACTCCCTCCCAGTCCAGGACATTTCTCCGTACACCTGAGCGGTAACCTCAGGACCTGAGCTAGGTTGCCTTCTCCTGACCCACATTTTCCAGAACCCACACTGCTTTTCCTCTCTGATGAATACGATGAATACCTGCCCAGTTCCCTGTGACTTCCCCTTTTGCCCTGCATCCCCCTTACCAACACAGGAGAGGACCAACAGGACCAGCACCAACGGGAGGCGGCGTATCTCCGAACCCAGGCAGCCTAGAAGCTGACGCACCTTGTCTCCAGAGTCCCCATGATCGCTGGGCGCCCACAAGCTCCCGAGCTTATGCCACAGGGCGGCTGCGGGCAGTGCCGCCGCGTAGGTAAGGAAGAAGGCGTCGGGGCGACTTCCCCAGAACAGTAGTCTAGTGCTGTCAGCGTCCCTGTCAGAGTCCAGCTGCCGGAACAAGGCCAGTCCCGGCAGGGCCAAGCCCAGCGCCGCCGCCAGTGGCTCCAAAGCAGCCAGCCATCCATGGACTCTTGCGCTTTCGCTCTTACAGTGAAGCGTTGCTTTGAGAACCCCTTGGACCCCCAGCCACAGCACGGCCCAGCGGCTCAGGCCCACCACCCAGACCCGGAGCACCGGCAGCTCCGTGGGCATCAGCAGGGAGCATATTCTGGGCAGCGCGGGTCGGAGCAGCACCCAGTCGGCGAGAAGTAGCAGCGTTGCTCCCACCCACGCGAAGGAAGCTCGGGAAAAACAGAAGCAGCCGCATGGAGTGGGTGACTTTGAGCCCGCCATTGGAGCGCGTGCGCTGGCCCAGGTCTGGTCCCGGCCTAGGACTCTCCGCTGTCCCCTCTGGACAGGCGTCTTTGGATGCTGTCCGAGTCCAACACCCAACCGGCGCAGGGATCAGCAGCTGGGGGAGGGCGGGGGCGGGGAATAGGGATGAGCTAGAGCAGCGCTCTCGGAAAGTCCCGGAAACCGGCTGATCCCAGGAGCGCTACCTAGAAGTCTAGCCGTTTACGGGAAAGAGAAAAAAGAGAAATCGAAAGCTCCCGCTGACACTAGACCCACCCACTTCTAAAAGTGACCCGCCCAAACCATTTTGGGAGCAGGCATTGAAATCAGATGTGAGGTTCGGGCTAGTAGCCTTCGTGTCCCATTTCTCCATCACACCCACTCTTCCTTCTTTTTCCTGCCTGCTTGCGAACCTTGTACGCATTTTCTCGCTCCAGCTTCAGGATGGGACTCTTTTGTCACCTGTCTCTGGGCAGATCTGCCCTACACAGGTTAACGCAGGGCCAGAAGCCTCACGGAGATGACACTAGCGCCCCCTAACGGGCTGAGTGAGGAGGCGGGGCTGTGGGTTGCGCGCTGTGCGATGTGTGCTGTCGCTGATTGGAAACCAGCGCCCCAGTCAGCGAGGAGCGCGGCGCCTGGCTGGGATGCTGCGGGCAGGAGCACCTACCGGGGACTTCTCCCGGGCCGGAGAAGTCCACACTGGGGTAAAGGGTCTGGGTCTGAGGGTTAGCAGAGGGGTGTAGAAGGAGCAGAGGCTAGGGAACCCTGGAAAAGCAGGGAAATGAACAGGGAAACTAACAGAAGCTTTGGGAGGCCGCCAGCGCTTGTGCTCCACCATGAACATTGAATGTCCCTACTCAGAAAGGGGTGTGTAGGGGTCGGTGAATGGGATGGGACGTGAGAAGCTTGCGGAAAAGGCAGTGCTTTGGGCTCTTAGCTAGAAGCGGCAAGGAGAAGCTGCTCTAAAGAGCTTTCGCTTTCACTCTGGTCTGGCCGGGGGTGCGGGGGGTGCTGGTTAAATCAAGAGAGGGACTTGGAGTCAGTGCAAACAGATAATGAAATGGAGCCTTGAATGAGGTAGGACAGCACTTGGGAGAAAGGAATATGAGAAAAGCCCACTCATCACACAGATCTGATTACCCCATCTCTGGATACTTGCACCCCAAGCTCTGATAATGGGTTTCTGTGTGAGTTTTGGTGGGTGATGCCCTTCCCCAGACAGGCCCAAGAAGGCTTCTGCTTGGCCTAGGTTCTGCCTTGCTCCCTCCCTGTCCATTTCCATGCCGGCTGAGGGACTTTGCCCAGGCTGGGTGCCCTGGGCAAGTGGAAGCCCCAGGGCTGGCTGGTTTCTGCTCTCGACCACCACCACCACTCGGCTTGGGGTGGCTTTGTTATAGGGGAATGGCTTCTAGGATTAACTTACCCCTGTTTTCAGAACATTTATTCATGGTAAGTCAGTATGTCAGAAAGCACACTCAGGACAGGTTTCAGGGGGCCAGAGTAAGACATGGAATGGCCAGAAAAGTAGCAGTGAAATCATTCCTAAATTGGAAAAATCTCCCCTCCCTGCCAAATGAGCAGTGGAAAGTAGGAAGTAGAAGTCCAAACAAGAAATAGGAGTTAGACCTGAGCTTTAACTCAGGTCTGCTATTAATTCTGTAAGAACTTGCATAAGTCATTCCTTCTCTATTACCTCCATTTACTAAATTTAACAGGATCTTTAAAGTTCATTTGCACTCAACAGGAGAGGAAAAAGTGCAGCTTCCTCCTTCACTCTTCCTTAATTCTTTCCTTGACCTAGAAAAACCTCAGACTCTGCAGTCAAATCCTTCCCTGATACAGATCTCTTCCCCTAGCTGCAGAAATATTTACCTCTTGACCAGAAATTCCTTAAGTGAAACTTTTATTTTAACCTACGTGTTCATTGCTGCTTCCCTCCTGTCTTGACTCCTGACCATGCAAGGAACTGACTTCCTGCATGTTTTCCTTGTTTGATAAACAGTTCGCTTCTGATTAAGTAAGGATGCATATGGAAAATTCAGGCCAAAAAAAAGACCTGAACTTGTTTCTCTCAAGTTCACAGAAACTTGCTTTGTGTCTGGTCTATAGCACATCTGTGCACAAGAGCACACGTGAGACAATTCCATGTGGAATTTTTTCCTCATGGCCTGTTTTACCAGTGCATGGAAGTGCCCCACCATCACCACCAGCCCTCCCTTCAAAAGGATCACTTCTTCCTCTAGGAACATCATTCCCACTTCTCTTTAGAATGCAAAGGATTCCACTTGGGGAAATTGAGGCTTCTTTCTGTGTTGAATCACAGCCAGGCTGTGGCATTCACCTGTAGCCAGATAAAACAAGAAAATGGAAAGATGAAGGGGAGAAAAAACTGTATTTCGAATCAGCTCTGACCTAAATTACTATGCGAACTTGAGCCATTTCCTCTTCAGCAATCAAGGCTCTCCCTGCTCTGACATTTCATACTGTGTGTCTCTGCAGACAACTATCATGGCAGTGGAGTTTGATGGGGGTGTCGTGATGGGTTCTGATTCCCGGGTGTCTGCAGGGTGAGTACCAGTGAAGATGAATACATTTGGAAGGAAGCTAATGATCCCAAATACACATTTTTCTTACCCATTCAAGAAAACTCTAGCTTTTAGAAATGGAGTTGAACTTTAAAAAGCCATGATAATACAATGTTAGGATTCTGGATCTCTGAATTCATGGAGGAGGATCTGGGATCTGAATGCTTACATAGCCTATTCCTGTAATGTATAGGGATGATTGTAAAGGAATAAGGTCTGAAAGGGGCACAAGAAGTAGGTTTTTGAGGGGCTCTTGTTCCATCCCCATTTAAGGATAAAAAGGATGGTCTGTCAAGCAGAAGTTAGATAATATCTCCTGTATCATATTTTGACCTAACATGGTCACATGTAAAGTGAGTCTATAGGATTAGATCAATATTACCTACATTATATTCCATAGAGCATAACTACCTCAAGACAATTAACAGCAAAGAAGAATTGATAAGAGGTGCATTTTTCTTAACCCAGTATTTTTTTTGTTTGGTTGTAAAATATAAGCCTGAAAATATGTCTAGTGATTTGTTTATCTGAGTTTTTTTTTTTTTGCTTCCTGCTTTAATCCAAGCTTTATGTTTCATGTTATTCTTTTGTCAAATTAACTCAACTGGTGAGAAACATTGGATATTTAACCTCAAAATTTCCTGAAACGCTAACTGTTGGCTCCTTCCTGACAGAGAGGCAGTGGTGAACCGAGTGTTTGACAAGCTGTCCCCTCTACACCAGCGAATCTATTGTGCCCTCTCTGGTTCAGCTGCAGATGCCCAAGCCATGGCTGACATGGCCTCCTACCAGCTGGAGCTGCATGGGTATGAAGCCCTGGGATCTTTACTCCCTACCCGCTATTCCCGAAGTGCAAACTCCTGCACTGTGTCCTGTTCCAAGACTAGTTTTTAATTCTGCTTTTGTTAGCTTCGAATTAGCACTTGCATCACTAAACCACTTTCTGCATCTGATAGGTACTTACCCTATCATCCCAGATGGCTGTTTTGAGAATCAAATGATATATGTGATATATGTGATGGTACTATATGTGATAGTAGTGACTGTAAATCATTATCCTAATATAATAATCCAGAAGAAAATGATGGTGTGGCCCACCATAATATCAGGCAATTACAATATGAGAAATCAAGGTCATTAGGACAGAAGTAAAGCTTATCTGGTTTTACCCATAAGCACAAGGCCCTTACAACCAAAAGGAAGCTGTATTATCATTGGAAGGTTAGTGGGCGGGGCTGAGGAAAAGAGGGTGAACAACTTAGCTTCTTACTGATTGGTGATATGAGACTCTCACTCCCCTGTACATGTGGGAGGGAAGCTGGAAGTTGAACTTTTGCAGCTTTAGATTAAGGTTGCTTGGCAGGGATGATGGTAATGGTACAGGAGTGTGGGACTTAAGAAAATTGTATTGACCCTTATTCCTAACATTTCCTTCAGGTTAGAACTGGAAGAACCTCCACTTGTTCTGGCTGCTGCAAACGTGGTGAAGAATATCTCCTACAAATATCGGGAGGACTTGTCGGCACATCTCATAGTAGCTGGCTGGGACCAACATGAAGGGGGCCAAGTGAGTCCCTCCCAAGACATTACCTTCCTTAGGGTTCCCCACTCCTCTACTCAGAGAGATGGAGGTCATTAGTCATTCCAGCAATGAGTTCCAAAGGCATTTCCTCTAAAAGATGCTACAGCCTCAGCTATTGAGGATAGGAGATAGTGGGGCTTCACTGCACAGTGCAGAGACCCCTGCTTGTCTCAGAGGGATGGAGTGGCTGCATGATACTTTAGTCTGATCTGATGGTGCCTCCCTCCCCCAGGTATATGGAACCCTGGGAGGAATGCTGACTCGACAGCCCTTCACCATTGGTGGCTCTGGCAGCACCTACATATATGGTTATGTGGATGCAGCATACAAACCAGGCATGTCCCCTGAGGAGTGCAGGCGCTTCACCACAGATGGTAAATAATCAAGTGGAAGGTTACCTAGGGAAGGTTTTTAAACAGTGGGAGAAAGTAGAGCAAGAGGAATTCATGGATGACCTTTTAATGTCCAAACTGGGACCCTTTTAAGAATGAAAGGGAACAGGACAAATGCTAAACAAGATGGGGCTTTGGGATGATAGGGATCAATCAGGACTGTCTAATTAAACCAAGTTAGGATGTGTGGGCTAGGCTGGTTTGGGCCAGCTCAGAAGTTGATAGTTAAATATTAAAGGATTTAGGAGCTACTGGTTAATCTGTCGATAACTTTCAAACAATTATGGCAGGAACATTTATACCACGGACACAAGCAGATGTTCCATATGAAGATTAAGCTGACTTAAAATCACACTACTAAATATGCCTCTCTGGAAGATGGGTTTTGAGCAAAAGTGACAAATGGACAGGAGGGGAAGGAAACAATTTTTGAGGCTAAGTCATTCTCTTCTCCTCTCTCCAACTTGAAACCCCCTGCAGCTATTGCTCTGGCCATGAGCCGGGATGGGTCTAGTGGAGGTGTCATCTACCTGGTCACAATTACAGCTGCTGGTGTGGACCATCGAGTAATCTTGGGAAATGAACTGCCGAAATTCTATGATAAGTGAATCTTCCTCAGGCTTCCCTTCCTTGTTTGCAATAAACTGTCTGGGACAAGAAGCTGGTGTGAACAATGGGAAATGGTGTCAGGGAGATGAAGTACAGGAGAGGAATTTTCTTCCTTCCCAGATGTCAACACATCCTTTTCATTCTGTCACCACTGGTCTAAAACATCTTTCCCTGAGAAAGGGGAGGGGAGTATGATAGACGTAGAAAGAGCCCTATACATGGCAGGTCATCAGTACTGAGTGATTCTTAAATATTACAGACCATAAAAATTCTCAGAAAGCTGCTGAGTGATAGAGTATATGCTTTGAATATTAAGGCTCTGAGTTCAATCCCCAACACCAAAAAAAATCTCATTCTGAAGCTCAAGGATGGGGTACAAAAATTAGCCCAGCACATTTGGTCGTTGATATTGAGACACAGATGCCTGAGGAACTATTTTAAACAGAGCTGAGTTCTAGTCCTATCTTTGCTATGCACTCCTGTGTGACAGGACAAATTATTCCCATTCTGTGAGCCTTCATTTTCTCCTCTGTCAAAAGAAAATATTGAGTGACTTCTAAGGCAAAAGTTTACAGAGCCGACATTCATCAGCATTTTGCTAGCAAGTGAGAAATTAAATTAACAGACATATTCAACTGCAATACAAGTAGGATGTCAGGCTAACCATACAAAGTCAAAGTACTCTGAAACGGTCACATGCTCTTGGAGTCCTTTCTAACCTTGCTCTTTAATGTATTTTGAATTTTAAAATAATAGTTTAAGAGCCTGTCTGTCAGATTGATTGCTGCTGGAAATTCTGGACAGGATACAAAAAGCAAGTACTCAAGGAGTCTGAAAGTATACAAGAGCAGCTGGGCTATAAAGAGAATCAAAACTGAAAGAGGCCACCAGCCCTAGGCATTTCCTTCAAGCTTTGCCCTGAAGTCAGCTTCAGGTATAGACCTGCTCTGTAGTAGCACAGGTGCTCAATCTCCAAAATAAATACTCTTTCTGTAAGAGGAACTGTAGAAAAGGGGCCCCTGTAGGCAGAAGAGTGTAGGGGAATCTCCAAAAGGAAAGGGTGAGAGATGGGGATTCCCTGATTCTAGGTCTGAATGCTTATGAATGCTGAGTGCTTGGTTACCCTTGAACTGCACATGTATGTGACAGACATGCCCGTGTGACAAACTCTAAGCAACACAGCTGAATGGAGATTTAAACCTATTAAATTAGAAAACAATTATTTTAATGGTCAAATAACTGTTTTTTTACACCCCTCATTCCAAACGGGTTTTTTTAGCAGCTTATAGAGGTAGGAACAGCTTTAAAAAGAACAAATTGGATCAAGGCTAAGAAAATAAATGAAGCCAAAGTGGTGTGGAGCTGGCCTACACTGGCTTACAAGAACAGATTGTAAAACATTCAGAGAATTTTAGAGGAATTTTGTTAACCATTGGTCACTTGATACTGTCCATGGTGGAAGTATTTATGCTGTAGAAATCAGTAGTGTTACAAGTCACAACTTCTTGGTTTTCCCCAAAGAGTAACTTTAACAGGACACGTTTTTATCATTTGACTACCAATTGGTAAAAAAACTGTTGGCTCTTAATCACAAGGTAGTGAAAGCAAAGATGGAAATAAAACTAGGTACAAGATTCATATGATTCAGCTGGGGGCAGTGGCATGCCTGTCATCCCATTCTACTTTGGAAGATCATGATTTCAGGCCAGGCAGAGGAGAAAAGTTCATGAGACTCCATCTTAATGGACAAAAAGCTGACTGTGATGGCATGCACCTATCATCCCAGCTAGGTGGGAAACCTACAAAAGGAGGCTCACAGTCCAGGCTGTCCTAGGCAAAAAGTGAGACCCTATCTCCAAAATAACTAGAGCAAAAAAGACCAGAAGCATGACTTTAGAAGTAGATTACCTGCCTAGCAAGCACGAACCCTAAGTTCAAACCCCAGCACAGCCAAAAAAAAAAATTCATATGATTCATTCTTTTTGAAAAGCCACCCAAAAAAGTCTGGCTCACTAACTGTGCACCTTTAATGCCAGAACTTGGGAGGCTGAGGTAGGAGGATCACTGGAGTCCAGGAGTTTGAGACCAGCCTGGGCTATATAGTAAGACTCTGTGTCAAGAAAACAAATTAAAAAGCCATCCAAAAATACAAAACAAATCATAAATATTTGTAACTTCTTAAGTCACACACATTTACTGAAATACTATATGTATCATTCCATAATGGAAATGCCAATAAATTTCAAAGGAAGGAAGGAAGGGAGATAACTATGGTACCAGGAATCAAAATATTTTTATTTTGGTTAAAGTTTAGTCCAAAAAAATCTGTAATAGCAGTACACAGAATGGAAGAGCCTTAGATGCCCAAGACAAGGAGCCTAATTATAATTCCTAGTGTAACATAGCACTGAACTTCAGGCCAGCCATAAAAAAAATAAAAAGAGAAATGAGAGAACTAGATAAAACTACAGCTCTTAGCAGATCATATGATTATCTATTGTGTTAGTCAGTTTTTTGTCACTGTGACAGAAAGAAAGGTTTATTTGACTCACTGTTTCAGTCCATGTTCACTGGGCCCCATCACTTTGAGCCTGTGGCAACATTGAGTACATTGTGGTGGGAGAACAGGGCAGATATTTGTTCACCTTGTGGCAGCTGGGAAACAAAGAGTGAGAGGAAGGGGCCAGGGTCCCAACATCCCCTTCAAAGGACACACTTTCATTGAACCTAACTTCCTCCCAATAGGCCACACCTCCTAAAGGTTCCACCACCTCCTAATAGCCCCCTGGCCTGGGGACCAAGCCTTTAACAAATAGGGCTTTGGGGGACATTCCAGGTCTAAATTATAGCATCTGCTTAAAAAAAAAAAAAAAAATATATATATATATATATATATATATACAAACTTCAAATCATCAAAATAAAATAATTTATCAAGGTTTTCAGCCATAAAAATTTTTTTAATTGGAAGCATTTTTTTCCAGCTGCAGGATAACCAATTAGAAATACAATTGAAATTAGGAACTATTTATGATAGACAAAAACTTATGAAATACTCAGTGATTAATTTAATCAAGAATTTACTAGTTGGGCATGGTGGTGCACATCTGTAATCTCAGCACTCAGGAGGCTGAGACAGGAGAATCAAAGGTTCAAGGCCAACAGGGCCACTAGAGAGACCCTATCTCAAAAATTAATAATTATAATTCTTGGAAAAATGTCAAACTCTAAAAAAGTCATTAAATATGATTCTGAATAATAGAAAGCCATTTTGTGCTCTTGGGTTGGATCATAATTTTATAAAGTTATCAATTGCTCCCCCTCATTAATCTTTAAATTTAAATCTATTTGAACTCCATGTGACCTTTTTGAAGAAATTTATGTCTACTCTAAAATATATATGGTAGAATAAAGATCATTAAATAGCTAAGCAAATCTTTTTTTAAAAAAATCAATAGAAAGAGGAGATTTCTCTTAAGAAATATTAAGGCATTCTATGAACTATAATTACAAAAGAGGTATAGTATAAATTCAATAGTTAACAAAATAAATTAGCAAGGGAACATAAGTATGAAAATGAGACAAAGAAATAAAGAGCTGAGAACTAAACCCATGCATACATATGCTTACATATATATGGGAATACATGTATACACACACACACACATACACACACACACATATCTATACATAGACATATACATATATAGGAATCTTATGTGCACTCAATTGCCACCATAGATAAATGGAGAAACTATGGATTATTTCATAGATGTTATTAGAAAAGTGGCTCACTATATAAAGAAAAATAAAACTGGGTCTTGACCTAATGTCGCATACAATAGCAGGCTACATGCAGGCTGAAGTCATGAAGGTAAACATGAAACTTTAAATTTAATTAGAATAAGGCCTGGGATGTGGGCTCAGTGGTATGGAGCTTGCCTAGAATGCACAAGGTCTTGGGTTTGCCACCAGCAATGCAAGAAAGCAAACTTCTTTTGCAGTACTGGGTTTGAACTCTAACACAAATAAATGTAATAAAATAAAATGTAAAAAGTATCTTTGTGCCTAGTGCAGAAAAGGACTTCCTTATATAAAACTCCAAAAACATAGTTGAAATATTTTATTATTTACTTACATTAAAATTAAATTTTTTTAAATGAAGGAGACCATGGCAACTCTTGTAAGTGAGAAACAAAATGCATTGCTTAAAAACAATCAGGGATAATATCCAGAAGATACAACAGACTCTTGTAAGCCAGTAATAGAAAGGCAGCAACCCCTAGAGAAAAATGCACAAAGGTCACAAACATGGAATTTATGGAGGAGGAAGCACAAAGGCTAATGAGCATCTAAATTAATGACAATTGAACTGAATGATAATCATGCAAGATAAATTGAAACAGCACTGATACATTACTTCATACCTACTAGACTGAAGCACATAAGTGAGATGATGCCGAGTGCTGGTTAGGAGGTAGGGATAAAGACAACCCCTGCAGTGCTAGTGAAAATACAAACTGGTGCAGCCATTCCAGAGAAAATGTTGTGAATCTTGATCAAACTAACCATATGAACACTCTATGAGCCAACACTCCCACTCATGGGAATAATTCTCCCCTCCTTATCTATCATATAGGTAGATAAGGAGACTTATGAGGCTGCTACTTGTAAGATGACTTGTGGTGGCAGGAGATGGAGCCAATGCTCACATCTGTCCAAAAGGAGGCAGGAAAGGGGGTGTGAATGCCCCCCTGGAGGACTAAGAAGGAGTCAAAAGAAGTGCATTAAGTGTATATATAGTGATGTGAATGGGTTTCTAAAATAGGAGGTTGAGGAAAACAAGAAACAGAATGAAGTTTTTAGCCCAAAACCATTCAGTCACATGGGTGGTTCAGTGATAGAATTCTCACCTGCCAAAACCATTCAGTGTATATGTGTATATACACAAAGAAATACACATTTTGCAAAAATACATATAACAAGAAATACACACAAAAACACATCACAATGGTTTTCTTTAGTGAGAGGAAGGAAACTGGAAGTGGGAAATGTGGCTTAAAAGAAAGAAATAATGACAAACACAAGCGATCTGATATGGACCAGTGGTGACCATGACCTTATACCATGAACTGCAGAACATAATTAGTTCTATCGTTTACAGCAGAGGTTAAAGTCAACCTGCCCAAAGATAATCACAGTTCTGAGAGCAATTTCTCTTACAGTTCCATGAAAAATGTTAGATAAGTCCCCATTTTTCAGTACAGCTAAATAAGGAAGGAATATAATTTAAAACTATTCAATTGAAGATCAGGGTTTGGAAAGGAATGGCAAGAATTAAGAATTATGGATGATATGTAGATCCTTCCCCACATTGTAGCCTCTCTCTCCGGTGCACACGTGGTTTTGTTATTATAAATCTTTGAGAATCTAATGAACATGTTTTGTTTAATAAAACAAACTAGAATATATGGATTGTCTTTGATCTTACTATTTTCAATACTGGGGATTAAACTCGCAGGTGCACTTGCAATTGAGCCACTCGGCCCTTTCCTTGGCCCTTTTATTCTAAACTCTTAACTCTGCTGGCTCCAGGTATATGATATAAAAAGAAAAATGTTTTAACTTTATTGAACATATTCAGAAGTATTGGAAATTGGTTCAGCAATATTTCAACTTTACCCAACAAGGCATGTGATAATTCCATGTATAAATTTGTATAATACAGAATCTATGCTGTCAAAATCTCAGATAAAAATAGGGATTCAACTCTTAAGACTAAAAGAAAGACCCTCACCTAAGAAAATTCTTAAACATCGTTCTGGAAGCAGAGACATATGTGAAAGCTTTGAATTTCTTATTTCTTTACTTGTTCATTCTGGAGTTCACATAAAAGCTATAAATGAAAAATAAAATAACTTGGTTAGAAGGTGATTGAATATAATACTACCGTTGTTTTTTAAAGTTTGCATATGATGTTTAAAAATGCATGTGGCAAAGTTACTGTTTTGATTCAGGTTAGGAAAGAGTACTAAAAATTAAAATATCTTTAATCTTAAAAAAAATAGAGATTCAATTTTTACCTAAACTGTGTGGACATGAAAGAGGGTGGATTTCTCTAAGAATAGCCTTCTCTAGCCAGATAAATTAGCACAGGCTTGCTATCCCAGAACTCAGGAGACTGAGGCAGGTGGATCACAAGTTCAAGGCCAGTCTGGGCTACATAGTAAGACCCTGTCTCAAAAATAAACGAATAAAATAAAATAAATAGCCTTCTCTAGGAAATGATTTGTAGTAGGTTCTTTGGGGAAACAGAACTACTAGAATGTACATAGAGAGGTTTATAGGCCCTCATGCATCCTAGACAAGTACTCTACCACTGAGCTACACCCCAGCACTATAGAAAGATTTATTTTAAGGAATTGGCTCACGTGATTGTGGAGGCTGGCATGTTCAGAATCCACAGGGCAAGCTGGAGAACCAGGGAAAAGTTGACATTGCAACTCACCTTGAGGCAGTGTGGAGACAGAGTTCCCTGTTCCTTCTAAATGTCAGTCTTCCTCTCTTAAAGCCTTCAGTTGATTGAAAAGGTCACCCACATTATGGAGGGTAATCTGCTTTACTCAAAATGCACTGATTTAAATGATGAGTTCATCTAAAAAATACCTTCACAGCAACATCTAGACTAGTACCCAAATAAATGACCAAGTTGACACATAAAATTGTCATCACATGGTCAAGATGAGACTTGAAGATAAATGTGACAAGAGTGTTGAGAAAGGAAATGAACTGAATACTAACTTGAGACAGCCAGATCATAACTGTCAAATTGTCCTTCATTCACCTGTCATAGGTGACTATGATAAGGTTTTAAATAGGATAGATACCAGACAAATGCGGGTGATTTAGTTGATGTTTTTGTCCGACCCTTCATAAGCTGGCTGCTTCCACCTTCCCTAGAGAGCATACAGAGGACAAAGAATAAATTTAAAACTTCTAATCCAAACTTAAGACATGAATGAAAATCTTCAAAGCCTCTATGGCTATCTTAAAGGATATTTGCTCTTCTGTAACCCAGCAAGGATATGGAGGAGGTCAAGTCTACGGTCTGCTGATAAAGGTTGTGATACTGTAGAACTATTGGTTGCACAACCCTGCAGGGGCTCTGATGCTAAGGTCAGGCCTCTGCTGGCATGGTGCGGACCCTAGATATGAAATGGGAAACAGGGGCAAACACAGAGACTTCTGAGAACCATGAATCACTAAGCCCCCTGAATATTCTCACTGGCAGAAGGAGACCCTGGCATTAGTTTGCTGCTTTGTAACCAATGGTGCCAAATCTTAGCATAGTAAACACTTGCTATTATGACAGTAGGGGAAATTTTAATATGGATTGTATGTTTGATAACTATGGTATCAATTTTAATTGTCTAGGGGATGATGGTATTAATGGTTATGCAAGAGAAATATCTTGTTCTTAAAATGTATGTGACAAAATATTTAGGGGTAAAGCAATATTGTCCACAGATTAGTCTCAAATGGTTTCACAAAATAGTTCTTCAACAGTAAATGGATAAATAAAATGTATATTCACACAACAGAATACAATGGAAAATTAATGAATTACTGATAATTCAACACCATCAATGAATCTTACAGAAATAATATTTAGTGAAGAAGCTAGACACACAGAAAAACACATACTGTGGTTAACAAACCACCCCCAAACTTATAGTCAAAAATAGTCACTTTATTATATCTTGTGAGTCTGTGAGTTACCTGGGCTCTGAGAAT